TTTATACAATTTAAAATTTACCACGATAGAATACTACAATTTTATTTATAGAATGGATAGATGGACAACTTATTAACTTCACTTTGTTGCCAGCAAAGGTTAGAATGCGACAGAAAAAGGAACGTACTGTCATTTCCTTTTATCTTTTCAGACATGCGTTATGTATTATTAAGTAAACATATAATAAATATGTAATATATTTTTACGATATCATAATATTTTTACAATTTATTTTTACAGTTTATTATATTTTACACTTTATATTTTATAAAAAAACATCATTAAGTATATTAACAATGCACATTAATGTAAGTAAATTCACATATCCGAGATAAATATTGAATACAAGTATAAACAAGTATAAACAAGTGTTAAAATGAATAAACAAGTATAAACAAGTGTTAAAATGATGATAGTAATGAATATGAATGTATAAACAATATCCAACAAACACACACCGATATAAATATAAGATATCCCATTTTAAATGATTTCAAAATATCTCTTGAACAGTGCGTTTTAAAGAAGAATGTTTTAGACAAAAGTTTTATGATTTCGAGAGGAACAGAAGAAGGGGTCATTGATTTGATCTTGGATAGTCATTTGAAGATTACATGAAGATCATCTTTAATTTTTTAAACAAAAATTCTCACTTTTTATTGCATGTTCTTGTAGCTTACCGAGAGCTTTTAAAAATATTATAATAAAGTATTTTTTATTAAGTATTTAATAAGTTATGTGGTTGAATTTGAGATGCAATTTGACATAAAATATAAAATATTTCATAAACTATTCATTCTTTAACTATATTTTAATACTTTTGTGAACAGAATAATGAAATAAATTATATGGTGTAAAGAAAATATAGTTGCTACTTAACTTTCGTACAATGTACCTAAGTAGTCATCCATCTTGTAACCTCACAACTAATACTGCTTAACCACCGAGATCGGATGAAATCTGATACTGAAACGAAGATAAAACTAATTCAAAGTTTTAATATAAAAATATAATGGATCAGATCATTGAATATCACATTGTAATGTACTTTAAGGCATCAAATTCTTGATTACACGTATGCTTCAATTTAATTATATATAATTATATACAGAGTGTCCCATTTTAATCAACGCATTTGAATTTCTCCGGAATCATGCGAGATATCAAAATATTTTCACGAAGTTGTATGATATACGAGAGAAATATATTTTAATAAAAAAAAAATGTTGATCTTGAGTGAAAACATAAAAGTCAAACTGAGATCAACTTAATTTTTTTTTAATTTATTTCACTTCTTCTTCATTTTTTAAACGCCTACGTTCGTAGCGCTGCTCATTACGAGTTCAATGCGAAATGTTGATGTTAATTCTAAATTATAATTTAGTAAAAATGTAATGCCAGGTAGTAGACAAATTACTATCGTGAATCAAGACACTCGCAGTTAAACATTTTTGTTTGGAAAAAAAATGGACGATTAAACGATCGATCGATTTGACCCCAAAGGAAACAACTCATGCTTACTTTCTCTTCTCCCAGAAAAACATTCGCATTTCTTCTTGATAAAAGTTCGCGCAAACGCAGTTGATCTATCTCATCGTAGTAGTTTCATTTTATTTTAAGATACACACTCCTGCAATGCTTTTCTTTTTTTACAGTACTTTTTTTACAGAATGACATTCATCTATTATTCCGATTTGTTATGTTAAATTTTACATATTACGCATTAGTTATATAATTACCCAATAAAGTACTAAAACCTAAAAGTAATTTTTGTAATTTTGTAATTTTTCAAATTTACTACAGTTGTAATATTTGAATGACTCAAAAACTATCTGTTTGCCATCACAAGGAACATATATATCATATTTGAAAGATATTGTATAAATATACACAGATATTGTATTTCTCGTAGTATTGCATGATGCAGTCTTTAATGCAAAAAATGAATCCAAATTAATTCTTGAATAATTGTGAATTTATAATTTAATTGCACAGAGCAATGGATACAAAATAAAAATCACCATTTACAATATATATGTATGTAATATTTCATTTAAGTAAACTTTATGCGAATAATATTCTACTTGTTTAAAAAAAAAATCAGAATCTTCTTTCATTATAGATAATATTATTCAAAAGTAAAAAATGTTTCACGTTTAATAGATATCATTAATTTAATGTAAAAATCAAGTAAGACTTCTATTTATACTTTCGTTGTAAACAGAATGCATATTATACAATTTCGATTCGATTCAGAAAGAAAGAAACGTTAATTCTTCAGGAAGCTTATCTAACAATGAACAGATAGAAAAATTGTATTTAAACTTACCTATTGTACTATAACTTGTAATACATCATTGAATGATAAATTTTCGTCTCAATGTTCCATAGAACAAATAACAGTAAAGTAAGATATCGATGCTTTCACTAACTAAAATGAAAAACAAATTTTGGATTGCGTAATTGTAATATAAAAATGTGGCGAAACAGCAATGATGTCTAAAGGTTAATAAAAAATAACAAAACTAAGCTTTTTTAAAATGGCAACTTATATCCAGAAATAACATTTCTCTACTAATAATAAAATAATATTAGACTTTTGAATTAGATAAACTTTAAATCGTCAGATTTGCAATAATTGTTGATTTGTTATTATGGAAAATAATAAAGAATTAAGAACATTAAAAATAAAGAACATTATTTGTGATATCAAATTTAACGAAATTTCAAATAATTTTATAAAATGAAATGAAATACATAAAATGTTTCATAACATTGGGCATTTATAAATGTAGATTAAAAGAAAAGATCTCGAATGGCCACCTTCGGTCCATATTTATCTCCTGTAAAGACAAGTAATTGCATATTATTAGACAGAAAAATGACTTCAAAACAAAATAAAAAAAGACATGTTTATATAAACTTTTTTCATCATTTTGTGTCTCCCATTCGCTGCTAAAGTAGAATGTACATGTCACGAAACATTCTATATCATGTAAAAAAATAATAATTTATATAATACACTATTTTCGTACGTACGATTTTCGTTATTTCTTTGCATTTCGATTCGAAGATGTGGTTTGGAATCAAAATTTCAAGCATATATGTTATAAACTGGTTGCAAGTATAATGGTGCTGAAATCTAAATCAAAGATTTTTATAATATAATTTCATTGTAATGAAAAAAATGCGATGTTTCCAGATATAAGTTGCTGCTCTAAAATTATTTACTTCATCAATCTTTGTTAGAATTTAAATAAATATTGTTAATGTTGCTTGCAATATTTTATATATATATATATATAAAAGCTTGTACATAACATAGGACACACAATGACTTTGTACCATGCCAAAAAGCTCTACAGACAACACGAACATTCCGCCAATATTCAGGCTGACAGTTTTGGTGCCCCTTTGTAAAAGAAATAATATTAACTTCTGTATATGTAACGGTGCTATGTACCATCGAACATTATACCTGAAAAATAATGATCAGAAAGCAAATCAATAATTGCAAATGTAGTAATAATCTTAATCTACAATTTATGAATTATTTTAATCTCTACTATGCTAAAATTCGTGAAAGATTTACTGATACATATTTGTACGAACATATATCTCTCTTACGCAGTGGAAAATATGCGGTTGTTGTGATTTATGAGTTCTTGTCCAGCATAATTTGCTGCAAAACCATATACAAAAATACTGAGTACAAGTAGAAAATGTATTATAAATTGTTGGAAGTCTCCAAATAAGATAGCCTCTGAAATCTAAAATACAAATGCAAATATTGGAATTAATATTTTATTTCACAATAACCTTGAAACAAAGTCACAAAAATTTTTACTGTGATAAATACTTAATTTATCTAAATATATATTTAATAATGTTAGATAAACTAACGCCATAAAGATTGAAGCTCAAACAAATTACAGCAAACATTATTAAAGCCATGCGTGATTGATCACAACCAGAAAAGAATAATGCGATAAACCTTTAACAAGAAAAAAATTTATATAATAAAATATAAAATATGTATAATTATATATAGTTGAATATATATGTATAGTTGTTATTAAGAACAAATACTAACTTGATAGCTTTACGATGAATGTCTACCGCATGAATTATTTGTTTATACATCGTAATCTCGTTTTGTAAATTAACATTGTTCAGCGTATTTATTGCTATTGCTTTCTCGATGCGATAACTGTAAAAAGTTACATTATTGATGTATAATTATATATGTTATTATATTCGTATTCGGAGAAAATCTATTCGCTATAT